ACTAATCTAGCATTTGCGGAACATATATCTATGGCGGTGTATCTCTCTCTCTCTGTCTCTGTCTCTCTCCCTCCCATCCTCCCCCTTCCTCCTGTGATCTCCCCACTCATCTATTCATCTAAGTAACACAAATACCCACTTGTATACACATGGTTTATGGATATACGCTTGCATCTTCTTCAGTTCCATACTTATATAAAGGGATGAGGGACATACACATATATGTGTATGGATGTGTTTAATCACTGTTATAGCATCAGGCATTTAATAGCGATGATAAAATCCATACTTCAAACATTTAAAAAATTACCTGGTTACAGATATATAATCAATTTTAGCAAGATTGGATTTGGAACAAATGAACCCTTGGAACTACTAAGAACTTTAAGTGACAGCTGACAGAAGAAACTTTTCTTAACTCCTTAGACTATGAGGTGTAGAGAGTATGCACAGGTGTCTCCAAAGTTATGAGGGCTGAACTTAGGACTTTCTGACTTCATGACTTGCATCCCAGAGAAACTGCCCTTTGAGGCTCCACCTTCTCCTGGGCTGGTGACGTGCAGCATGATCCTCTCTTCTAATGCTGGGTAGCAGCCGGCCACAGCTCCAGTCAGCACTCATGAGGGCACACAGCTGACACTCAGTATGTGTCAGTGCTGGCATTTTTGGATAAGTGGCATTTAATAATTACAAGAGATAGTTAACACTTCTTATGTAATAGGCTTTGTGGTAGGTGATTTTCTCCAACTGCAGGCTCATGCAATTGTTGTGAGCATGTTACGGTAGGGCAGGCTAACCTGTGATGTTAGGTAGGTTAGGTGTAGTGCATGTATTTTTGACAAGGTGGGCTTATCAGGATGTAAACCCACGATACGCTGAGGAACATCTTCAGTAGACTGGCACTGTACTTTGGTCTTATCCAGCCTAAACTTTACACTTGTCTTAAATATAAGTATACATATATTAAACAGCTGCCAAACAGTATCTCTATTGCCCTAGTGGGAAAGACACACACACACACACACACACACACACACACACACACACAGAATGAATGGCAGGTTCAATAAGTTTAGTTGTTTTAGAGAAATATGTATTACCAAGAACTACAATTTCAGAGTTGTTCTTGTTAATATTCTTGTTGACTTCTAGACCAATAGCATCCTGAAAGTCCATGCTGGCAGATGGGCTTTATTAGTAAAATCTTTCCCTGACATTTTGTTAGACTTACAGATCTTATTCATTTATTCTAATGAAAACTTGGCCATCTTCTTGGGACTCTGTTTTCCCTGCAACCCTCTCAGTTGGAGGCTCTCTTTTTTGTTTCCTCTCACAGAATTTATACCACATATCTGGAGATATGAGGTAGGTATACCTACTCCACATGTTTTATAAATATAAGTACCTCTCCTCACTAGCCGTAAGTTCTGCAGTAAAAAGGCTATGGTCTGTTTTGTGCACTTGTGTATCCCAAGCATATTGAGGGGAATCTGTGAAGCACTATATAAATATTCAGAAATACTCAGGAACTATAAGGGATTGCACTCAGTAGGAATTCACTGAATGAATGCATAAACTGAGTTCAATTCAGCAGCACAATAATGAGCACATATTACTACAAAGCATCATTCTTATATCTAAGCATGGTACAAATGTGGTTGTTGTAAATAAATACAGATATGTACTACCTTGTTTTGTGCGAACTGATGACTAAATCTGAGAAGTATTTAAATTCTTAGATTTTACTTCTCCACAGCATGGCACCTTCATGTCATTCAATAAACTATGTTAGCAACGTATTCCATAAGGTACTAGAAACCCATGGTTTTAAAATCTAAATTAAATTTAAATTAAATTATTAAGAAAGATAATTCATAATGATCAAATATAGATAGCTCTGTAAAATTATAGCCAATTTTCAGTTCTTTGGCTTACCTCTTTTTTACCCCTTACATTGTTCATTATCCTCTGTTCACATAGTCTTTCTCCACATTGTACAAAATTTAAGCAATAGCAACACAATAATATTATTTACTAAATTTCTTTGGCCTTGGCAATTTGTATATCTGAGCCTCTCAGTGGTGTTTTGGGAGTTTCCTCATTTGTTTGATGTGTAAATCTCTTAGTTTTCTTTCAATGATATTATAATAAAAAGCACAATATGGCCTGGGGATTTAGCTCAGTGGTTCTGCTGCCTGCCTCACAAGTGCAAGGACCCAAGTTTGATGCCCAGTACCAAAAAAAAAAAAAAAATCACACTATGAAGATTGTGTTAGCTTAATTCTCAAAGCATTACTTTATATCTGAGTTTTAAAGTTTCTTTTCTTTTTCTGCCTGAGCAGTGCTAATAATGGTGAAAAGACAGCAAAATGACAGACATAAATTAAAATTGAAGTAGCCTTTTACGACATATGGAGTTGTAACCCATCTGGTTATTAAAGTATTTCTATAACATGTCATTTGCTAAATATCAAATAATCTTAGTGTATAATTAACTACTATATATATTTGTTTTTATTTCTGCATAGCATCAATTACACTAATGTGCACTAGATACTTAAAAGTTACATGTTAATTGAAATAAAGCTTTTTCTTCCTGCTTGTGGTTTAAAGTATAGTTTATAAAAATCGTGAGGTTTATCCATGTTTTAGCCTAAAAGTTCAGATGAAAAGAAAAAATTTGGTTTAGTAATTGAGTATAAAATAGTTTTTAAAAGATCTTCATTTGGATTCAAAAGCTTAAATGGTATTGTACCACAATAAGAGAAATTAACATTAAAACTTTAGTCTTATAAATAATCTGACAATATACTGCTTCAGGGAAGCTGGCTTATAAATCCTGAGTCATTCCAGATACTGAAATTCTATAACTGCTTACACTCCAGTCTTAAAAAGGGATATATTATGCCAGTTTGTTTGGAAGGCAAACTTTATCCACTGTCTGTTTATTTTGCTAAAAACAAAAACAGAGAGTTCTTTTTGTGAAAATTCTGGAAAAAAAGTTAACTCCACATGACAATAAGCATTTCAAATGTCAAGAGGAAGAAATTAACATTTTAAATATGTTTTGGATTAGGAGAAATAATCATAAAACAGCAGTATACATGACGCATGGGTTATTCTATTCCTTGGAAGTTATATATATATACATATCCCATAATTTTTAATCATATAAATATAAACTATCTAGGTAAGTCCCAAATATTTGGAAATTAACCAATAACCACCTAAATAACTATTAGGTTGAAGTAGAAGTTATGGAAAGTAGAAAATATTTTGAATTAAATGATAGAATGTATCATACCTAAATTTGTAGAGAATAGCTAAATGAGTACTTAGGGCAAATTACAGCTTTAAATACTTATATAAAAAAGAGAAAATGATAAAAATGGAACAAAATGCAAATAAATTGTTGGGTAAAGGATGTAGGACAGTTCTTTATGCTATTCATATCACTTTTGTGTAAGTTAAATTTTTTTTTTGTAAGTTAAATTTTTAATAAAAATTAAAAGGCTCCTAGAATGTCTTCATTTTGTATTTGGTCAAGTAGTAATTCATATGTAAGGGTCTGAAGTAAAAACAGATGTGCGAAAGTAGAGAAGGATAGTAACAACCTTTCCGTCCATACCAGATCCCTAGAAAAGATCCCCAAATAGCAGATACGTATGAGAACCTAGGAAACCACCAATGCCGCCATTAGTGAACAAGAATTTCATTTAACTGCTATCGATAGAAAGCGTATAAGATGACTTTAAGACAACAGTGGGGAAAACCAAGCTCAAGCAGAGATTCTCTAAGTTCCAAGGGCCAAGCCTGAAAGGCAGTAATTAACGTGCTAAGTAATTTTAGAATCATAAGTTAATTAAGTCAGAGGTTTAAGAAGTGTAGGTTAGTCCTCCTCTTCCCTTGGCTACCTTAAGGAACACACTGGAAAGGTGTCTGCCTGTACACTAGCGGATTCCACAGTGAAATCACCCGGAGAGCTTTAAAAGCCTGTACTCAGGGGTGAGGCCTGAGCATCAGACCCGTGTTTGGCACTGGAGACCCAGCACAAAGAAGAGAGAAGTAAGCTTTCCTTATAAAGCTTATTAGTGAAAAGTAATTAAGGAGTTTGGGCCCAGTACAGAAATTCAACACATAGCTCAAGAAACAGAAGAGAATACAAAAATATATCCACTTAAACTGATATTTCAAATGGTCTGTTAGTGGATGATTTAATAAATGAGCCATCAGATGATTTAATAAATGAGCCATCTGTTAGTGGATGATTTAATAAATAAGCCATCAGAAGAAAACGTCATATAGGAAAATAGCCACCTTCTTTATAATAAAATAAATTCCAAGTGGATTAAAGAACTAAATCAAATACAGAGATAAGAAAGAAAAAGAAAAAAGATACAGACAGGTATTTTTATGATAGGTTAAGTCTTGACAAAAATGCCACAAAGCTGAAACTATAAAGCAAACATAGAGGGGAAGGTGAAAGGGAAGAAGGGAAAGGAAAAATTATGAGAAAAGAAAAAAATGGAAATGAAATCTATGTAAATAGGGAAGGGTGGAGGGGGTGAAGGGTGCACAGGTAATGGGGAAAAAAATAAGAACCAAGATACATCATGTACAGGTACAAGCACCCAATGATAAATGTAAATGTATTGTATACCTAAAATGTACCAATAAAAGAATTTTTAAAAAAAGCAAACATAATTTAAATGTACTGAATAGAAATGTTAAACTTATCTATTATAAAAATACATTATTATCCAGTTCGCTAAAAGTGAGAATATCTGTGGTGTCCAGAGACATAAAGCTTCTAGAAATCAATATAAAATATCATAACAGGCAATAGAAAAGGGGCCTAGGCACATACTGCTATTATAACAATCTATGAATCAAATGTTACCTAAAGACTCTCACAAAAACAGTGTTAGAAAGTGAGCAATAACTGAGTAACAAACTTGGCGCTGGCCCTGTCCATCTGCCATTTATGGCAATGCACTTACTAGCTGATAGGCGCTCTGGACTGTTTGTGATCATCTCCTGTATTGATTTTGCACGCACCTTCTTGCTGCCACGTATGGTGGTTGAAGAGAGGTCTTTCAGTTTCCAGTGGGCCCAGAAACCTTTCTGAGGCTTCAGACCTGTTAATGTAAAATGTACATGTAGCTGAAGAAATTAGGATCTTGAAAGTATCTTCTAATCTGTCAAAACATTTTGATTTACATATTTCACCTTTACAACAGAAAAGTTCTGCTTTTGTGCCTTTTAACCTGGGACAGATTACAAAAGTCATTTAGTCACTCTAAAAATCTGTACTCTTAGCCTTATAAATAGGAATTATATAAATCCTTTTGAGTTCTTCAGGATTAATTCAAATGTATGATAAAGTGTTCAGTAAATGGAAAAGCACTATAAGAACATGAGCTAGTATTGTTACTATCACTATTATTGACATTGATATACTCATAAATGTAGCCAATATTTTTAAGGTGATCAGTGTTTATTGAGGATTATTTACCAGATTTCACTATTGAATTAGAATTTTTCAAGTATTTTTAGAGAGTTATCACCCCTTTAGTATTAATTGCCACTAGATCATTTTGCAGAAGACTTCATTTGAATTCACTTGAGTGCTTCTTCGAACGCCTATATTTAAAATCTGATGTGTGGCAAAGCCAACAGACCAGCTGATTGCCTCTGGGGCATGCCACTCCCTGGAGTGACACTGGGGGTCCCTGGGCTCAGTCAGGAGGCAGAGGAAGAGGGCAAAACTATAGGCAGAAGACTTCATTGTATTTTCCTTAGGAAGGAGGAAGTGAAATCAATTTCTTTATCTCTCTGGTAAAAGAACTATAATTAAAGGCTTGAATAACCCAGTTTTGTATATGTATAAAGTTGATCCAGTATTAAATTATTTGACCTATTTTTCATTGTAAACAGAAGAATAAGAAATGTAGCTAAACTGAAGCAAGTGAAGATTTATGTTAGACAAAAAGACAGATTTTCTTTTCTGTAAACTCCTATGATTTTTACTAAGTGAAAAGGATTATTTTTTGATTAAAGATACAACACATATTGAACCACTAGACGTATAAAGAAAATCCTATAGAAGCGCATATGTGCAGCAGTCTACAGAACTACACACACTACACATAAAATTCTATTTTTCATTTTATATGTCCTATAAGTCCTGTAGGCTTTCTTTACTCTTTTGATTCTTTTTCTTGACTGGGTTATTTCAAAGTAGCTGTCTCCTAGGTTGCAGACATTCCTTAGCTTCAGAGTTTAAATAAAGATTCCTATCGCTTTTTTTCATCAACTAGTTTTGGTCCAAATAATATTTTTCTGACGTTGTTGTCTGTTAACACACTAAGTATTTTAAAACAATCATTCTGAATTATTTGTCAGGTGAGGAATTTGTAAATCTTCATTTCTTTTGGGTAAGTTCCTGTTGGGTTACTATGTCGCATTGGTGTGAGTGTGAGTGTGTGTGTGTGTGTGTGTGTGTGTGTGCTTCTTGTTACCTTATGTTGAAGTCTGTACATTTGCTGGAGCACGGATATACAGACTGGTTTCAGTGGGCGAGGACTGTCAACGATGGGTGGGTGTAAGGTGCCATCTAGGAGAGGCATAGTGCCCTGGCTCTGGGGAGGACGCTGCAGCTCAATTCATGTGCAGCTGTCAGCGGAGGTGAGCATCAGTGATGAGCGGAGTCCTCAGGGGCCGAGGCCACTGCTGTGCGCAGCAGCTGTGAGGGCTGGTGAGGTCTTCAGTGGTGATGACTGCTGCTGCCTTTCCTCCCGTGGGATCAGTCACATCAGTGCTGGATACACAGTGCCTGAGGAGCAGCCATGGAGCCAGGGCCTGGAGGATGATACATATGGAAGACTGGAGTTCCGGGTCTGGGGAACAATGGTATGGCTATATGTGGAGGGGCTGAGGCCCCAGGAAGGAGGACAGTAGTGGTGCTTGTGCCCCTGCTACGGCCCTGGTAATGGTGTGTGAGCTGTGGGCACTTTGGAAGCACAGGTGAGGAATGCACTCTGCAAGTATCAGTGCATCAGCATCCCTGAGGCCTGGGGCCTGGGCACTCCCACTGGGGCCTAGCTCTGGTGTCTGCCTGATGGTCTGGGAATCTGTAGACTGCGGTTGCTCCGGAGTCTGGGTTGTAGATGCACTTGACACCTCAGTGGCTCCAGTGTCCACGGCACAGCATTTATGGAGTGGCTGGAGAGCCAGATGTGGAGCTCAGGAACGTGTGGTGGCTCCGAGGCCCACTCTGTGGCATCTTTGATGTGTGAGGTGTGGGCATGCACATGGCTGCCACAGTACTAAGTCCCAGAGTGAGGTGAGCACAGAGAGGCAGCAGCTCCACCACCTGGCGGGTGCGAGGCTGGCGGTGTGGTGTGGCATGGCGGTCCTGGGCCAGCACAATAGCAGCTCTTCCTTGCGGTGGGAGCACAGCAGCATCTCCCTCTGCAGCAGATCCACTACGACAGTGGCTGTTGGTTAGATCCACTGTGGAAAAATCACTAGTGTCCTCTGTGGAGCAGGCCGCCGAGGCCTCTGTGGGTGAACACTAAGGGCACATCCACTGAGGGAGCTACAGGGAGTTGGCAGCTGCTGTTAGCCCTCTGAAGTCCTCTGCAGCAAAGGCTGCCAAGGTCCTTTGTGGAGCAGGCCCCTGGGGACCACAGTGGTGCCTGCCACACGCCTGGTCCTGAGCACCTCCAGCCTCCTTTACTCCTGGCCATCCCAGAGAGTTCACCTGGCCAGTCTCTCCAGTGATCTTTCTTTGCGGTTATTCTAGTTTTTGCTTCACTGTGTTGCTGTGGGTTCCCAATTGGACTCTTGAGCCCATGCTAGGGGTACTTTTGTTCATGGATAGCTAACTGTTTCCCTTGGTGGTGGTGGCTGCGGAGATGACGGGTATCTCCTAATCCAGCATCCTGCTCTCATAGGAACACTCACCATACTGAGTTAGCTCACCCACGTGACCTCAATTAACCTTAATGATTTCTTTAAAGGTCTTATCTGCAAATGTAAATTTGGAGGGAAACACAATCCAGTCCATAACTGACCTGTCAAAGTTTTCTGCTCTTTATAGCAACTGAAAATATTTATCTTCCACATTTAGTATATATTCCTGTATACATATATATTCCTGTATATATATATATTCCTATATATATATATATATTCTGTGATACCCATTTTTGTATAATTTCACTGCTTATAAAGTTATTTGGTTTCTAAAGTTAATAACTAATTTTAATAATACAATTTTTAGAATAAGCATTTCTTAAAAACATAGACACTGATACATCTACATCGGTGTATAAAAACTACCAGTAGGGCTGGGGATTTAGCTCAGTGGCATTGCACCTGCCTCATGAGCACAAGGTCCTGAGTTCAATCCCCAGTACCAAAAAAAAAAATTAAAAAAATAAACAAAAATTACTAATATTTTGAGTGCAGTAAAATATATCAATTCAAAAATTTTAGGAACAAAAATATTTATTACTTAAACAATATATTCATACCTGACATCCAAAGAAAAATGTTATTTCCTAGATCTTCTTTAAATTGATCATTAAAGAGGTTACTAGATTCTGGAACTGCTTCTAGGAATGTTGCATAGATTGCTTATGTCAAACAATCAGGATATACCTACCAAATGGAGTCATATTAGATTAATTTATATTTTATATACCTTAATTATCTAAGAAATTATTACTTTGTAGAAATATATATTTCTAAGAGCTTTCATTTAACCATTTTATTACTCTTTGTAACTGTGAGGGACATGAATAAAGAAAAGTTGAAAATCAAGTCAGTATGATTTTTGACATTTTGTGAAAAAAATTTAATTTGAATAAAGATAATATTAACAATTAAGATAGTTTGATGATCAGCCCTTTATTTCATTTAAACTTGCAGAAAATGGTACGTGGATCATCAAAATTAAAAATATTTTTAAATAACTGGAGCTTGTATAGGTGGGTCTACATATTGTAATTAGCATGGTTTAAATATTAAAATCATAATCAGATATCAACAAATATATGGCACTACTAGGATCTCATAAGTTTTTGAATTTCTAAACAAGTTCCTCTCAGGAGTGACTAAACAATGCCTGGATACCATATTTTTATATTAAACACAAATTTATATCATTGTTTTGACATTCTGCATTCAGATAAGTATTTAGAATCACACATTAAGCCCTTAATTGTACATAATTTTAGAACTGGAGGAGTCCTGAAAGGTTACTGTGGTGGACTGAATAATGGTCCAGAAGATAAACATGTTCCAGTCTCTGGAACCTGCAAACATCACTTTATATGGCAGAGGCTTTGCAGATATGATTAAATTAAAGACCTTGGGGGAAATTAACCTGGATTACCCAGGGGCCTCTAAATGTAATCCCAAGTGTCCTTATAAGAGGGAGGCTGAAGAAAACTTGACCAAAGAAGAGGGGAAGGCAATGTGACTGCAGAAGCAGACATTGGACCAATGCAGTGATAAACCAAAGGGTGACTGTAAGGTTGTTCAAGGTTGAACCTTTGTCAAATTTGTGACTTAGGTTTATTTATATTTTCATTATAAAAGATATTTAAAAAATTTTAACTATGCCTTAACTATGAAAACATTTGCAAACTACAAAATGTTTATGTATTAGTATAATTAATCTTATTCATTATTTAGTGTAATAACAGAAGAGCAAAACAAGCATTTGATTCAATTTTATGCATTGTATTTTACTGTAACAGGTGCTTAGTTCTTAAGTATAACAGTTAATTATTCTCAAATGAGTCAAAAGATTCATTATAAAGTTAAAAGAAAATCGTGGATCATTTTGTAAGTAAACTGAACAGAACCAAAATATAAATAGAATACATCAATAGTTTTCAAACAAAATTCTTCTCCCACTAAGGAGATTCTTTAAAACTTTGAGGTAATGGAATGCAATATTCTGGGAAGTGGTAGTGGCGGTAACATAACTTTAAAAGTATCTTATTCTACTTATCCTACATCTGGCACCTTTGCTCTCAAAAGCAACAAGATATATTCTCTTATGTGTTGAAATAATTATTTTTCTATTTCATTCATTCTAACAATAATTAGTACAATGTTAATTTCTATGTTTACCTGAAAGAATGCATCTTTTCTACTGAGAGGTATGCTCATGAAAAGTGTCACATAACTTTCTGCAATTCTATCAAATAGGCAATCTTGATATTTTCTGTCAGGCTTGGAAATAAAATGTATTAAATTAAAGTTAATATTACAATTGAAAAATGGGAACATTCCTTTTTCATATGTCTTTTAATTTCTGTCGGAGAGCTGGACACAGTGGATAGGCCAACAGAAACTGAGGTCTATGTTATTTGTGTGTGGGAATAGGCCTGCCTCTTTTGTTAAGCCCTTGGGGACTTCAATCAATTAAGTAATGTAGAACTGTATTTGGATTTTGTTTCTGTTCTGATTACTCTCAGTAAAACACAGACTTCAAATTCCTCTTGCATTATCTTGTTTGAATGATTCTCAAACAACATCTTTTGACTTCATTAATTTTTCTCAAATTTCTTGTTTTCTGTTTTTATTAGTACTGACTTTCACTGTGATCATTATTATTTCCTTTCTTCTGACTGCTTTAGGTTTCATTTGTTCTTTTTCTACTTCAGTAAGGTAGAAATTGTGATCATAGTTTTGGGGAGCTTTTTCTTTTTTCAAATATAGGCATTTTAATGTTCATATAACTTTCTAGTATTGCTTCAGTTATATCCCACAAATTGTGTTTTCATTTTCATTCAATTCAAAATACTTTCTGATTTGATATGTGTTTATTTTAAGTGTGCTAGTTCTAGATATTTGGAGGTTTTTCCATATGTCTCCCAGCTTTTCATTTATAATGCAATGCCATTGTATTGGTGAGGTTTCCTGTTGCTGGGACAAAACACCTGACACCTGCAACTTAAAGGAGGAAAGGTTCATTTTGGCTCATAGTTTCAGAGGTTCCAGTCCATGGTCAGCTAGCTCACAGTGAAAGGCCATGGAAAAAGAAAGCTGTTTAACTCAGGGCATCTGAGAAACAGAGAGCAGGAAAATATCCAGAGAGGAGGGGGCAGGGACCAGATATAGTTCTCAAGGTCACACCCCCGTGACCCACTCAGACATACCCAGAAATGTACTTTACTAACCTCCTAGGTATCTCAAGCCAAGGAAGTTAACAGTCAAGATTAACCACTACCATCATTTTGTCTGAAAACATTCTTTGCATGGGTATGGCTTGAATTATTAGAAATTCATCAGGATGTTTTCCTAGCTTAGAATATAGTTTATCTTGACAAATATTTAATGTGTACTTGAAAAATATGTATATATGTATTCTGCTGTTGTTGGAGATGGTGTGGTTTGAATGTGTTCATGTGTTGGGAACCTGATCCCCAACATGTTGATGTTGAGATGGGACTTCATGGGAGGCATCTGGGTCACGGGACTCACCACCAAATTACTGATATTATTATGAGAGTGAGCTGACCTCTATCGCTTTCAGAATCTCTTTCTCTTCTCTCCTCCCTTCTTTCCCTCTGCCTTCTATGGGATGACTCAGCAAGAAGGCCTTCCCCAGATGCCAGCCCCTAGATCTAGGACTTCCCATCAATGTAAACCAACAGATACTTGTTCACACACTTTACCTATTCTGTAGAATTCTGTTTTAGCAACACCAAGTGCTTTAAGAAACAAGGGATGCCTTGGAAATGTCAGGGCAAGCTGTTTGCCACTGTTGCTGAATTTTAAGTCATTTATGTCATTTCTGACCTTCTTTATATTCTACCAGTTTCTGAGAGTGAGGTGCTGAAATCTTGAACTATACCGATGGGTCTATTTTTCCTTGAAGTGTTAAAAGTTTTTATTAAATGTGTTTTGAAGTATTTTATGAGGTGCTTCAATATTTGGAATTGTTCGGTCATTTTAGTGAACTGACCACCTTGTCATCATGTGATTACTTGCTTTGCCATTGGTAACATATTAACTACTTTGAAATCTTTGTGCAATGAGTTCAAAAATATTGTGACTTTGTATGTTATGTAGTTTTTGTTATTACTGTTGTTGTATGATAGGAAGTGATGCACTTTCTGGCTCTTTGTTTCTTTTGGGGGAGCCAAGAACAAGTTTTAAGTATACACTATTCTTACTGAAATTCTTCAAGTAAAATACTGTCTCATGTACATTTCCATTCTCTTATTGTTTGCCAGATACATCCCCTCCTTTATCCTTTTAAGCCTAGTCAGAATTTTCACCTTTCTGTATCAAGACAAGACCTTTTCTCTATTTGATCTGTAGACTCTTTTCTAAACTGAACCTCCTCCTGTGTCACAGATTTGCAGCAGGCTTTTTGGTTAGTGTTTACCATCACATACTAATGTTAAGTAAAGCTACAACTTTATTATTCCCTACAATGTTCGACTTCACTAATCTTTTTCTGAGTAAAGAAAATTTAGAATCTTGGAAATCTATAGTAAAGCCTTAACTCCTGTGAAAAAGGACAATAAACAAAATTTTTAACATGTATGGAATACTTAACAATGAATCTCTGTGAAAATATCCAGAAAGTTTTATACCAGTGTTACCTCTACTGAAAAATTAAGTATGCTACAAGTCAACTCATAAAAAAGAAGTTTAAAAAATACTATTTACCTTAAACTTATAGAGAAACCACCACCAAAAGCAGTCACGCAAAAGAGCAATGGAGGCTTCTGAGAGGAAATGAGTCTTCCAAACTCTAAAAACTCTTTCCTGTGGGAAAAAGAGATACATGGATATCGAATTTAAATATATAACAACACGTTAATACAAATATGCCTTATAAATTTATTTAGTGGTAATAGACTAGTACTGTTCAACAATATTTAGCATCAGTCACATATATATAATACTGAATTTTCTAGTAGATACATTTAAAAAGTAAAAGGTGAAATTAATTTTAAGGATATATTTTATATAATCAAATATATCTAAAATTCCATCACCATATAATTGATATAACAAGTAATGAAATATTTTTTATTCTTTTTTGATACTAGATCATTGAAATTATATGTATTGAAGTATGTATTTTATACTTATAGCATATATCAACTATTTTCATCAAGAAGTACTAGATCAGTATTTAGACTTCACAGGTGTAACTTCATTGCAAACATAACTGAAAAAATTTAAATAACTAAGTCATTCTAACTTTTAAACTTGTATATAAATTGGTTAAAAGAAATAAAATAACACACCCAGGTACTTAGTCACACTGGCTACTTTTCAAATGCTCAATTTGGCTAGTGGTATTGAAAAATGTTATAGGACAGATCAAGGGTAGCAAAAATGTAAAATTCAGGTCATAATTCCTCCTTTTTTTCTTGAAGGCAAATATTGACAATGAATCACAGAATTCTATCCCAATAGATCCCCTTCATAAATCTGTCTAAACATGGGGTTCTCCTTAGCAGACAACTCACCAAAATCAGAACATAAGGTTAAATCTACTTACTATAATACTTGAAATTATACATTTTGTTTTAAATAGGAAGATTGAACAGATCATCTTATGTTCTAATTCACAAAAATTTTTAAATTCTGGATTCGGTAGAATCCAACATTTCTTTTAGTGGAATATACATAAATATAATTTCCTCAAATGCAAGTCAACAAAAAAAAGATATAATGCAAACTTATATAGCAGGAGAACTGTTTATCATATACTCAATGGGGCACTTCTTGCTCATAGGCCACTAAATATAGTATGGACTTCACTGGTAACAGCTTCAATTTAGATTTAGTTTTTTTTTTTTTTTTTGGTACCAGGGATTGAACTCAGGTACTTGCACTTGCGAGACAGGTGGTGGAACCACTAACCTAAATCCCTGGCCCTGATTTAGTCATTTTTAACTACAAAGAACCTATATGATGTATATAAATATAAAAAATAGACAATTGAAATACAGAGGGGAAAATAAGCAGGTTTACCAATAACCACCCCAGCCTCATCCTATTCCTGGCAATCCTGGCCAATATTCTGGTTACCTTTCTACTCTTTCAGCTTTTCATCACTTGAAATCCTATATCTAAAAAGAACTACACAAAAATCCTATATTGAAAAGAAACACACATAAGGGTTGTGGAGAAGGGCTTTCATTAGTTATTACAGGGTCAGAGTAGAGGGTTAACTTATCCCGAGCTGATCGAGTAGGAAGGGAGAGGGGAAAGTGCCCGTATGATCATATGTCTGTCCACTGCTCACCATTACCCTCAAACTCTCAAGGCACTGACATGATGTCTAATACCGGCTCTTCTGGTGAGCAGGGTATTAGATATCACTGGTCTCTCCTGCAAAATTTAAAGTCTAAAGGATCAAATCTTCCTTAACACCAAACTACCATAGTTTCAAAGGTCTGATTCAATACATCATATTCTCCAGGTTTATTTACATACATCAAAGTTATGAGCTTTTAAAATAAAAAGATAAATTCGTTTAGCATCCAGATGTCTGAGTAACTCAGTAACTGCACTTGTTTTGAATCCTGAGAAGTTGTAACCCTAGAAAAAAAGGAAATATAGAACAATATTTCATTCTCAGTACAGTAGTCTCATATGACTACAGAAGACAGGTAAATATTTAACTGTCACTCACCTGACAATTATTTTATGCTGTTATATTAAGTAAAAAATATACATCCCTCCTACAAAAAGATCTTTATATTATCTACTTCTGTGAAATTAAGAGCTTTTACATAATCACAGGCCAATTCAAAAGCAAAATAAATCATATTTCAGAATTAATTTTGACAGATACTTAAATGATCAAGGATTTTAGCTAGACTGTATACAAAGAAATATGAACTAGGCAGAAAAGAGGAAGTTGCTACTGCTTGTTACCAACTCTCTTTCCTGGAACCTCTATCCATTTAGCTACATCTATATTATTGTACACATTCTTTAGAACCACATAATACTTTTGATATACAATTGGGCAGAATAAAAGTTTCAAATACCTCTATATTCTTCTCTGTCTCCATCTCATCTGAAAGCTGGAAAACATTTAAAACAAAATCCTTAAAACACTCAATCCAATAAAAGTTATTCAACAATAATAGCATTTATTAAATTTTTGTTAATATGATTTATCTAAAGGTAATTTCAACAGATCCTGAAAGGTCATCTGATAAAATTCAACAGTGAAAGTTTTAAAACTTCTTTTGAATAGAACATTTAATGAATAATATAAATACCAGTATTCCAATGTTCTCACATCCTAGAATTCGTTACTGTTGATATTTTAGCATTTGCTTCAAGACTATAGTTGTAGGGAAATTCCACTTTTTGGATTCCCCTCCTGAAGAAACCAAGAGCCTTTTTTCCTTCCCTTATTTCCAATAAAAGCTCTAACTTTCTCCTTTTGCTCACAACTTCATTTGCCAATGTTGTGAGACCACAAGCTCAGTTTATATTGAATTAACTGTTTCATATTTTGGAGGTCCCACTGAGATTTGCAGTTAATAGGAGGTAACTCCCAAATGGAAAGTTTTTATGGTCTGTTTCTTCTTGCAATATGTTCTTGTTAAATGTTATTACATTTAGGAGGTAGGAGGCAGGTGAAATTTGTGCTTGCTTCCTTTTTTTCCGGATAGCCTTATGTTTCTTGTGTTATTTCTCTGGTGGTAGGGTAAATTTGGGGAAAACATGCCTCATATAAAAATGCAGGAACCTGTCAGCCAGCTTTGTAAATGGTGACTAGTGCAGGCTACTGCCCTTAAATCTCAGGGGACAGGTTTACTGGGGTAGTCTGACCTGATCTGCCCCCCACACACATTGGGAGGGAATGTCCAGCCTGCTCCACCTCACTTTCCTTTCCAATTTGATCCTCTGCTGGTGCAGGAGCAGTTTTAGCTCTTGATACTCTTGATCTTAGTCTCCTGAGAATGATAACTCTTGGGCGAATTGTTCCATTAAGTCACTGCAAGCTGAGGAAGACAAGACTCTCACTGCTAATCCCTCTTAGTGCCAAATTTCTCCTGCTGTTTTTTTCTTTTTCTCATTTTTTGGAGGCTTATTTATTAAAGACCAGAGAAACCCACCCTGAGAAATTTTTAGTCCCAATTTGTCTGTCTTCCTTCCCTTAGAGTAGGGCTGGGAACTAGGGAATATCTTCACTCCTTTCTTCTTATGCCTCCAAAATTCCATTTTGGCAGGGCAGATTGGCTTTTTTTTGTTGTTTTTCTGCAAGGTAGGGGCATCCCTGCATTGGTGATCATGTTAGCACATCTAAAAACATCATGCAGACGGAAACAGTGATGCAGGTGCTAGACTCCTTTACTGGGGTCCACTAGATCAACCCTCTGAAGAAAGTCCATAATTGCTGAACCCCTACATGACTTCTTTGTAGTCCCCTTGGATTAGCTCTCTGGAGAAAATTTCTGACTGCCAGCCCCTACACTGACCCCTTTTAGCAGGTCTTCACCTCTTCTTTCCTAAAACGATACTTCTTTTTATTTATTTAGCTTATGAGTAAGGCAGCGAGCTAGGGAAAGGGCCTGAGAGACAGTTGGGTGATCAGCCAAATGGATAGGAATGAAAATAAGAATAGACGGTGAACTAAGACTTTGGACCAAGAATGAACTTCCTCAGGCAACATGGAATGCAGCCCCTCCTTACTAAAGGGAGGAGTAGCCACTCCCTGCTAAACTCCTAAAATGTAAAATAGCCAGTTTTCCTCTAAAATCCCTATTTCCTTTCAATCCTACATGCCAAGTAGAGAGCCTGAGTTAGAGAGCCTGGGTTAGAGAGCCTGAGTTCCAAATGGTCATTGTAAATCCACATCATCTGTGAGAGGTGGTCACTAAACAACTGAGCAATGTCACGTGCTCTGCTTATCCACAGAAAGCTCTGGACCAAGGGGCCACATGGAAGTTCCACTTTTTGAATTCTCTTCCTGAAGAAACCTAGAGCTTTACTTCCCTTCTCCTTATTTCCAATAAAAACTCTCCTAATTTAAAAAGAGGACTACAATTTGAGAATAAAATGTGAAGTTTATATAATAGAGTAGAAAGTCTGAATTCCACCTCACCAGGATCTTTAGTTCTAGTCCTGTGTTCCCTCTTTGAGAAAATCACTTAATTTTTTTGGTTTGTATCCATTTTATTCCATTACAAATACTTTTATACCACCACATAAGAAACTTTTTGTATGTTTTTAAATGTAAAGAAATGGTAACTATACATTTTATTTTGTAACTTGCATTTTTCACTCCATATTAGGTTTTCTCATTCTACTCAAGTTCTATTTATGTGTAATTAGTAATTTCCATATAGCTTTTTTTTTAACCAACCTAACCATTCCCTTCTGCACAATATAAATAATAAACAAATCAATGGAAGTTTGCAGGCAACTTTTGCCTAACATTCAAAGGACAAATGTTTACATTTTACCTTGGAGTCTACAAATTATCTTGGAGTAGAAAGGGAAGTAAAGCTAAATACTTCATTTTCTAGGATTAGTATGATTTTGAAACCAAAACAAATTGGAGATAATGTAGGAAAAGGTAATCATATCTTAAACCAATAATAAACTAATAACATGATGGGAAAATAATCTCATTGACATTATTAGTGAAAAATTAAGATACTCAGGAAAAAATGGAAAGAGAATATGTAAATAGTCCAACATGCAGTCTATTTCTTGCTTTCTTTAATATTACAACAAAAAGTATTTTTAGAAATGAATGTTTTGTTACTTAAATATGTTAACTATATGATATGTTTTATATGTAGCCCAAGACAATTCTCACTCAAAAAAACAGTGAGCTGCAGATGGAACACGACGAACTGATGTATTTAAAATAATATGTTTATAAGGGTATTACCTTACACCAAAATAAATATCAGGTGGATTAAAGAATTAAATATTTTAAAAATTACAAGAATAATACAAAATAAGATATGTGACTATACCTATGACCATGTGATAAAGAAACACTTGGGAAATTTTGTGTCACCGAAGACAGAAATTTTTAGAAAAAATAAAATTCTACATAGCCGAAAACACTTTTTAGTTAAGTTACTTGAGTTGAAAATGTTGCTATCAAGTTATCATTAAAAAATATTTAATGTTGCCAAGAGGGTAAGGGATAAATCACAAACTATTGATAAAAATAAGAATTGGAGCTCTCCAGAGAACAATATGGTAATCCATGTCAGAACTCTTGGAATTTCATGGTCCTCCCCCATTCTGGAAGCTTATCTTAATAATCTTGGATAAGCACAGTCACCAGCTCTAAATATTTTGACAACAGTTTTGTGAATGATAATGAATAGTGAAAACTAACCTCAATGTCCAAGAAAAGGGTTATTACAATAGTTTATTTATGAAACACACATTTTAAAATGATATAGAACACTTACTCATGAAAATTTAATAATGTATTAGAAAATGGAAAATTAGAAAATATAACTTAATCTGATTTTTCTATAAAACAAAAATGACAATGAAGAGTGACGTGATTTATTTATAAGTGATGAGTTTTTTTATTTCCTAAAACTACTACCTTTTTAATTTACAATGAAGAATAAAGACCAAAACTTATTTTGAAACTAAAAAATGTTAAATGAGGTAGGTGGTCTAATGGTAACAGACATGTACATATTTACAATTTTAAGATTATGTAATTTTAGAATGTATTTTTGAAAAGAACTAAGTATGTGTAAGTAATTAAAAGCCTAGTATAATTATAATGAAAATATTAAGGAGATTTAAAAAAAACTGACAATGTAATATAAAGATCATAAAGAAAATGGTTTATTTCTAAATGAAAAGGATTGACATGGGACCTGCACTACTAGGTATATTGCAAATTATTAAATCATCAAAGTGTGAAATATATACATTAAAATAAATCTTAATAATTTGCAGTGTAGAGAGGAGGGTAGAGAAGGAAGGGGAAGAGGATGTAAAAAGAACTAAAACGTGATGTGTACATGAGTCAAATGTGTACTAATAAAATGTGTACTAATAAAAATTTAAATTTAAATTTAAAAACTGTAATGTTATGAAGACGTTATCATACTGAGCATAAAAAAGGGATGAGTGTAGCTATTTTAAAGCACAGAGAAACAAAAGGGTAAAAGGACATTTTTGAAAATGTTATCAGTGCTTATCTATGGAATAACAATTTATAATTTTTGGAAAATATAATTTTTGAAGGATGATATAAAAACATAACTACCATACCATTATCTTCTTTTGTTTTTGGTACTTCTTTAGAAATGCCTTGTATCTTTGCAATTTTTCAAAAGAACCTTTAAAAAAAGAATTCATATCATACATCCTTCAAAAATGAAGAAGATTCTAAATACTTCTAAAAGTTATATATGAAATTATCTAAAGGGATCAACTAGTGATTTTGGTAAGCATAATATTAGACACATTAACAAATTGGAAATATTTTTTATCTCCTGTTTCCTTTAGTTTTTCTGAAATATGTTCTCCCTAACATCTCTACAGAACTCATTTCTATATGTAAAGTTTTATCTCAATCAATCTCTACTGGACAGGCCCACATTTTTCAAATAGCTCAGACACTTAGCTTCTGTTGTGGCATGGCTGACTTAAATTCAGGAAAGTGCTGTACGACTGTGCATGGCCTAATGAAAGATTGCAGGGCCTTCAAGTCATGTGACTTAGACTTTGTTCTCTGGTCTTTACATTTGAGGGCATTGAGTATATGTAAAGCTTTTTAAAAGAAGGAGAAAGTTATAAAAAATTATATATTTGTATTTTTCTCATGTAGATTTTTCTTTTCAAAAAGAACACATGTGTATACATGCCATGTACATGTACATGTATATATATAGTTTATACACATATATACATATTGTGTATGTATACTAACATACTTCACAAGTATATATATAACTTACATAAATTAAAAAATTGATAAAATGTTAAAAACATGAAAAATCTAAAATAGTGAATTTAATACTAGTGTGAACATATTTGCAGACTTTGAAAAATCTAAAGCCAAAAATGATATTAAATATCTAAAGATTGTAGCTAATCAAATATATTTAATACATAGAAAATACTTTATAATTATAGCCAATATCATCAGTTTCAAGGCTTCAATAAGACAAGAATTGCCATTAGTATTTAAAACTATTCTGGAAGTATTAAAAATAAAATTTGATAAGAAAAAAGTTATACAGATGCTAAAAATGAAACAGCATTACTTACAGATACACTTTTCACTCAATTCATTGATCTTGAACTGCATACTAAGGACTCCTGTAAGCCTATAACCTAGCCCATGTAGGTCGACTCTCACCCCTTTCACTTTTGGTTTTACAGATTTCTGTTCTTCTACCTGACCTTGTTGACTTGCTTGTTTCTCATAATGTCAGCTGATGTCATCTTATTTCCCTGATATTTGCTACCTCCACTCCGGTTTAACAAAGTTCGTAACTGTTTTAGTCTTTACCCTAGCAACAGTTTCTTTAGAACAACATATTTTCATGTTCAGCTAAAAATCTGAAAATTAGACCCACCTTAAAATAAGATATATTTTTTGGTTTTAAGATTCTGCACATTAAGATCTCATTCTTTATGTGAACACACAGAGGCAGCAGATAGACTAACAGAAACACACACACAGCTCAGCATTACTTTAGTCAGGTAAAAACTTAAGGCTTACTTGTCTTGGAAATCATGCTGGTCAGTTCAAATAGTTTGGAGGCATGGTCTTGCAGAAGAAGTGAGCATTCCTTTAATCTTGACTCCATGATTGTGATTCCTTCAAATATTTGAGGGACATTATTGGATAGCTGTGTATAAACTGAAGTAAAGGAGCTATCTTCTTTTATTTTTTTCAGAGTATATGTGCATTCATCATTATCTGGCCAACTGATTTCCCTGGGCCAATAATCCTGCAAAAAATGTGAAAAAGGGGCCGGGGATTTAGCTCAGTGGTTTCGCTGCCTGCCTGCTGCACAAGCACAAGGACCCGAGTTTGATCCCCAGTACCAAGAGAAAAAATGTGAAAGAGAGGAAATAACTTCATCATTCTTAATAAATTTTCAGAGGAACCTAGGTCCCCTTGCCATTTTGGAAAAAAAGAGTTTTATGAAGATACATAAGTGCCCTCTCCCAAATCTTGAAAAGGTCTCAGAATAATAACATAAGATCACAGGATAAAATCTCTGAAGAAAAATCTCATCAATTTAGAATGACAACTGCATTTGAAAATATAACCTTGTGCATCATGTATTGCTATTGTTAGAGCAGCCAGGGAAACGCCAAGGCTAACAGGGATTTGGGAAGATTTTACAATTTGTACAAACTTTTATGAAAATGCATCCTTCGTGCCAGCCTGCAGGTGTCACATCTTTGTTCCCAAGATTCCAAAAATACTGGCTGAGCAGGTTTTATGTGAAAATCTGAAATCTGAAATGCTTCAAAACCCAAAACTCGTCGAATGCTGATCTGACACCACAAGTGGAAATTTCCACATCGATCACACTTGACAAGTTATATTCAAAATACACGTGTACAATTTATAGTTTATTCAGTGTCCCCACGGGGGAAGAAATTCCCTTCTGCTCCTCTTCAGCTGCGTGAGCCCAGATTCCCCTCTGCAAGCCTGTCCACAGACAGTAGTAAAAACGGTGGCCACAAAGGGTAACAGTAAAGTGGTACATGTGCAGGAAGGACACATCGATGCTGATCTCACAGTGCTGCACACAGGGACAAGACCGGCATGTATTACTTATTGTGGTTTTTGTTTGTTTGCTTTTGTGCTTATTCTCTGATCTGTAGCATGAAGATATGGTCATAAAGTTTTTTTAAAGTGCAGTTACCCCTATGGGCAACACTGGTAAGGGAAAGAGGGAGCGCTTGTTTTTATCTTTAGCCCAGAAAGTGAAGTTGGAGAAACTGGACAGCAGTGTAGTGTGAACCATCTTACAGGAAGGGATGGTGACAGAATGATGACCATCTGTGACCTGAGGAAACAGGCAATCAAAGGATGAACTGGGTCCCAGAGCCTTTAATATCCAGAAAGTGATGCTTAAACAAGCCCTGATTCTCTTATTGAATTCTTTGAGGTTGTGCTATTAAGTGGATACCAGCTGATGTTCTTGCAGTAGATAATATCTTATAGTACATCATAATTGCTACCCCCATCTCTCTAATTACTTTCTTTCCCTAATCCTTTATACTGTGTTGTCAACCAGAAGCCTCTTGAGAAGAGTGCCATCAGAAAAGTAAATTTCAAGCCAACATGCAGGCACATGCTTGTAGTCCTAACTATGCAGGAGGCTGAGACAGGAGGACAGTTGAGATCGAATTCAAGACCAGCCTGGGCAACATAGGGAGCCCCTGTCTCGGCATACACACACACACACACACACACACCCATGCAAATTGTGTAGCTAGACCTCAGGAAAGTAAATGGGGTCAATCAGCAATGAACAGGCTAGTGAGGTATCAGGGAAAAAAAATGCTATCATTACTGCCACAGGGGAAATCAGCACAACTAGAGGTTAAGCATCCAGCATCCAAAGTGATTATATTAATTCAAAGGAAACAAATGTATTCAAATTCCAAAGGAGCAAAGGACTGGAAATTTCAGTTCCCCACAGAATTCAATTCTCTAATATAGGATGATGGCCCTCAGTGATAACTACAAGAAAACAATCATCTTACTTTAAGACAAGGCCAATGAAGCAGGAATTGACTAGGTATTTATGTTTAATTATAGCAATTAACTTTGGCAATGGTAGAAGCACAAATGATTATGCACTAGTACAAAACTAGAGACAGAAAAGGGAGAGTAAATAGACAAAAGGCCCTCCAGAAGTTTGGAGAAGGGTTTTGTTTACTGAATATTGGTTAGGTCTTCATGCACATCCCAGCCCCCAGTGACTACTGAGTTACAACAAGACAAAGAGCATGGATTGGGTTAGAAGGATTGTCAGTCCCTCTTCTTCACCTTAAGCTTTGATATAAGAATTTAAATGAATGAATGGGTGGATGAATGAATGGAAAACAAATAAATAAAATAAAGCAGGCTATTTCTTGAATAAAGAAAGGGGGTTCGAAATAATCTATCATAAAAGTAACTTTGATCCTTTGAGAAAAATCATAATGGAGATCTGAGTACTCCTTAGGTCTGGATTACAAATTTAGCAGGTTTATCAACAAAAACTGACATTGATATGCTACGAGAAGATGAAGTACTTCTGGGAAGAAGAAAGAAGAAGTGCAACAATGTGGAGTTAAAATGTGATGTGCAGAGTAGGAAAGCATTAGAGACAAGTGCAGACAAGGAGAGTGACATAAATTCCATAAATTAGGGAGTTTTGTTTATTTTATTCATCACTCTATTTTCAGTGTTCAGAAAATATCCACCAAATGATAAAAATAATTAAATGGATGAATGTGTAAGACAAGAGTTGACAATGATGTAGCAATAGTAGGACAAGAGAATGTTATAAAAATAAAATACAAAAATATTTTACAATAAAAGTAGGATGGTGATGAACTGAAGAGGGAACAACAAGAAAATGTAGGCACTGGTGAACAGAAAGATGAGAATGTAGAAATAATTAAAGGTAAAAAGGTACAAAGAATCATAACAAAAGTAGGAAGAGGAAGAAGAGAGGAATAGGAAGTGTAACATATTAAAATTACAAAGGAAATATAGAAAGGGTAGGAATTGGCAAATAGATGATGTGATAAAACACACAATACAAGAGATAAAAGAGAAACTGCTACCTAACCTGTCAGTTGTAGGTACTGTTCGAGAGCTAGCAGGGTCCAGACTTGGACACAGGCAGTTTGGCCCTGGAGCCTCTGTCTTTATCCATTACACCACTGTACAGACACCTCTCTCTGCCTTCACACTTTGTAAATTTGTAAAAAAGAAATAGGCTTCTAGGAAATGACAGGCAGTTTGGAATATATTCTTCATTTCTCTTTTGCTTTACTCATTTGTTTATAATGTGCCTCAACTCTGAAAGATGACAGCATCGTGAAGGCATGTCTCTGGCTGTTTTAATTGATCAATACATCCTAAGTGCCTATGTTCCTGGAACATAGTTGATACTCAAAAATATTTCTTAAATGAATTTACAGCAGTTATTGCTTTCTTACCATTGGCTGTAAGACAAAAACTTTGTTCAGCAAGCAAAACTGAAATATTTGGTTGTATTCCTTGATGTTTTAAAAAATCAGAAGTTTGGCCATGCATAGCCATAGTGAAGACTTAAAAAAATAAGCTACAGATTATGAATATTAGGTTGGGAAATCCAGAAAATTAAAAAAAGATCTACAGATAAACTCGTAAGTGACAAAATGGTACAATTGGATATGTGGTTTTTATCAAATGCTATCCCATAAAAATTGAAGACTATACTTATAGCCTTTGGATAGAAATATCAGTATATCCTTTGTGTACAAGGATAACACTACTGACACAAGAAAAAATGTGCTTTGATTTTACTCTATTTGTAGTGAAAGGCTGGCATAAGCTGATGATCTTGATTTCATTAGTATCATTTTCAATTTAAACAGAGGAATTATGAATTTTTCACTTTAAATATTTAGAAATTACCAAGCACAATATATGTATAAACATATGGTCCAAATATCACCATTATTTGTTGTTTCACTAAATTTTAACCATAATCATTTTCCTTTGACATTAAAAGAAAGAAAAAACTCAAACATTGACATTAGATTGCAGCACATTTCCATCACTGTTTAAATCAAAATAGTTGCAAAAAGCTTGTCCTAAAGTACTTCAAAATATTTGGCTCTACTACAGTGACTGAAATAAACTTTTGTAAACTAGGAATATTCTCATTTTCTTTTGCTTCTAAAGGAAATCTTCTTCCAAAAACATTAGAGAAAAACATTCATGTAAATATAAAAATGAAAAATAGATGTTTAAAAATAGGTATATCTGAAACTTCATCGTCAATAGTTTGGTCATAGCAAATTCCATTTACATTTAAGCATAGATGTAATTCATTAAAAATACAAGAACACCTTATTTAAAAAGTTGCCTTTTTAATTTCTACATAGGCATCTTTATCCTACCCTTTAATTAACACACCTCAGTGCACAATAAATCTGGCCTTCACACTTGGAAGTGCAGAGACCCCAGGGCAAACTTCTTAGCAATCCCAGTGACTCCACATGAAACCAGTAGTTATGCATAAAAATGGAAACTGGAACTTTTCAATGTGAAAACACATTTTGACTATTTTATCCTGATTCAACAATGGAGGAATACTGATGTAATGCCTTTCCAAATTACTTGTCTCAGCTGTGCCACATAGATTAAGTGAGCTAAGTGTGTCAGATTTTCTTTAAGGTGTATATATTTAAGACAAAAATCCCGTATTAGCAAAAGTGCAGTGGTACCTCAGTTCATGAATTTAATTCATTTCACAATTCTGGGGAAGATGACTGCCAAGATGGCTGTGTTCCTGTTTCTGCAGGGAAGATGGCTGAGGTTGTGTTCCTTACCTGATGTAGAGTTCGCGAATGGAAGCAAATTTTTGCCAAATGCTTCATTTCGTGAATAAAAGCATTTGTGAACTGAGGCATTACAGTAATGTCCTCATGGGACTAAAATGTTTTAAAGGTGAAAGAGAGACTATTGATGAGAGAAAATGACTACAGCAGGAGCCTAATGAAAGGAATTAAATATTTACAAAGACTTCCCACACTGAAATTATTTTCTTGAATTTCTGTTCTTAAAAGTTTTTCCTAAGCTTCCCACAACTCCATATTTGACATTTTAAAAAAGATATACTGGTCCATAAAATAGGATGCTCTACTCACCCAATTTCGCAACTTTAAGAATTCTTCAATGCTTTTTGGAGGTTCTTGCATTTTCTAATGAAGCAAAATTCGTATTGTTTATTGACATAAATTTAATTATAATATTTATACATGATTTACTTAAAATATGATACTGAAATTATAATTTTCAGATTGATAAGACATTATAAAATATTCCCTTTGCAAAGATCCTGAAATTTGAAAAGGAACAGAGATAAATATTTAAATTTTCTACCTCTAAATCAATTTCTATGAAAGGCTTTCCTCTTACACATTGCCTCTAGTCCATGTGACACTCGCTGAATGTCCTCCTTTCTAATTTCCTTTGAGAGTTTCAAATTTTGGGGGAGCTATTGTGAACAGTATCTGTAATAAATGCAGAGCCCAAAATATGATAGCATACTCTTCTTGCTGATGTAGTATTTTAAAGGGCCACACTAGTGAAATGGTGGAAGCAACTTAAACATTTGACTGTTTCAGCCTAATAATGACCCCATTCTTATTTTGTTGTTGTTTCTTTGAGCTGAGAACATATTGAACATTAGACACGTGAATTTTAATCCAGCTCGAACTTGCTCCTTCTTTCCTTAGAGACTCTGAACACAGTCTTCTTTTTGCTTGGACAGGGACCCCTGTCCCAAACCCTTCTTGGCCTGCTTAGCTTCTACTTAAAATATCAAATTAAAAGTTACTTCTTCTGGAAAGGCTTCACTGGTCCCCCAAAGAGTTTCTCCAAGGTCATATAAAGCAGATTTATATCTCCATGAGGACTGAAGCTATGGGGCAATCATTGCTGAATTATCTAAATTTCACACAGTGGTTGTCTCATAATCCATGAGATTTGCCATGTGCATAAATTAATGAATAAATGAATAGATGAATGTGAGAGGCATATAGGTATTTGATAAATAATAATAACAACAACATTCCTAGAGAATGAAAAACCAGTGAGAAGGCAAAAATAAGAGGAATTTAGAAAAGAGGAATTCAGAATTCTATATCCTAAAACCCAGGATGATGTGGCTGAAGAGACTGCCTCACATTTTTATTTACTAAAACATGTATTTTACATCAATGTATAAAATGGTCAACATTGTAAAGTTCCTGAGTCATGCTTTGTAAAAGGAATTACACATTTGTGGTTGAAAGGAATATTTCACTCTTAATATTGTTTTAAAATATATGAAGAATGTAAGTAAATAAACGATAATAAAGTAAAGGGTACATGTGACAACCATTACGGAAAAGAAGCCTTCAGGCAGAAGCATAGGTGAATATAGCTGCCAAGGACAGTGTATGGAGAGCATGGAGTTGCAGGGCTGGTCAAATTGAGAAGGGCGAGAAGTGGGAGACGTGGACTGCACAGAAATGTGTCCGTGATACAGCATCTTCAGGGACACTAAGTGCAGCAGTGTGCCTAGGAGGAACTGGCAGTATTTTTTAAAATTCACAGAATACAAAGAAGCCTAATTAAAACAATTTAAAAGCTGACTTTGTTTCTCATAATGGTTGTCTACTTAGCGTCCAAACTGAAAATAGCCACATTTCAATAAAAGAGAATCAGAAAAATGAATCATGGGAATGAAATTTGCATAGGGAAGTTCCAGGTAATTGCAATATAAAATTCCAAAGCTCTCTGAGGTAAAATTAAAAGGAGGCGAGGCCTACATGACACAGATCTCTGCTTTTAGTGAGATATAGACTAATTCTCTATTGTAACCACAAGAAAAACTTGAATGAAATAAAAATCATACTTTTCTATGTGTTTAATGGCAATCAGCCAAAGCCAGTAAACACAGCCAGTTACATACTGTATGAGAATTCAGACTCCTTTGTTCAAAAATTGTTAAGAACTTCAAGATGGTGACATCAGAGTATTCACCATCATGATGCACAAGGCTCAGGGCGCCTGCAGAAGTGGCAAGCCCATGTGTCCAGCGCTGCCTGCAAAGTCTGATGACCTGAAATCCAGAGAGGAAAGGTGGCTTTGTAAGTGAGTGTAACGTTACCATAGCTTGCTTACCCAGGAGCCAGCTTTGCATGTCCAGTGATACTTCCGTTGGCCCACCATGGGGCAGTGACCCTGTGGAGGTGACGAGAAAGCTGTTGGGCTGTGGGTGTCAGTGTGAATTGGGGTGAGAAACCAAGGAGATGTCTGGATCAAGACTACAGACAGCCCACCAACCCCTTCCCCTCACCCGCAACGCTTACCGCTGACACAGCAGCAGAGACAGGGGCTGAAAAGGAAGAAACCATCCCAGCCAACACCTGTGTAGAGTTCTTAGGTTCTGGGGTAGAGATGAAATTGACCCATTCATGAGCCAAAAATATCTAAAATTTTAGTCCAAAATTCTCCCAGTTCAAATATTGACGAGGTATAAAAGATAGCTTGGAGTTAACCACCGGTGATCTCTAATCTTCAACTCCAGGATTCTAAAGAAACAGCCTTTTGTATTAAATGCCAAAAAAAGAAAAAGGCTTGTGTTCTCTGAAAGCGAAACAAAATTAAATTTTGGTCTCTACAATGTTGCATTGGCCCAACACACAATAAAACAATTGCAAACCCAGTGGTGGGTGAGCCACTCCTGTCATCTAGCACTTGGGAGGCTGAGGCACAAGGATTAAAGTTTGAGCCCAGCCTGAGCAATTTAGCAATTTAGTGACCCCTCCCTCAAAAAAAACCCCACATCCCTGGCCATTAGAGAAATGCAAATTAAAACAATGCTAAGATTCCATCTTATACTACATAAAACAGCCACCATCAAGAAGTAAAAAGGTAACAAATGCTGGCATGGCTGTGATGAAAAAGGAAACTCCCTACATGGTTAGTGGGAATATAAACTAGTACAACCATTATGGGAATCAGTGTGGAGATTCCTCAGAGAACTGAAATTTGAAATTCCATATGGTCCAACTATCCCCCTCTGGGTTATCTTCCCCAGAGAGCTAAATACACCATATTACAGCAATACACGCATGCCAATGTTTACAGCAGTCCAATCATAATAGCTAAATCATGGAAGCAGCCTACCCATCAATGATTGGATGATGGTTTCTATACACAATGGAATATTAATCAGGTATAATGAAGGACAAATTCAAGACATTTGTAGGAAAATGGATGCACCTGAAAAATATGTTGCGTGAAATAAATCAGACACACAAGCCTAAATACTGCATGGTATCGCTCATGTGAGTAAGACCAAGTACAAAAAACACAATAAAGGATGGATAGAAGGAGACAAAGAGGTGGATCTCTTGCAAATGGAAAGGGGTCCAAGAGGTCAAGGGGAGGGGAAGGAGAAATAAGTAGAGTAAGGTTATACCATGCACAGGAATCTAATAACCTTGATGAATGTAAATAGTATATGCTGTAAACATGGGCTAAGATTAATAATATCAACAAGGATGAAAAGGGGGAAAGGGAATTAGAGGAGGAGGGAGGAAGGAGGAGAGAAGAGGAAAGAGATTAAAAAAAGAACCAAGCTATATTATGCACATGTACACATTTTCCCAAGATGACTGTAAAGTGCGTGTACTGTAAACATGTACCAAAAAACCAAAAACCAAAACCAAAACCAACAAACCAAGCCTGAGGATGTAGCTCACTGCAAAGGTCCTGGCTTTAATTTCCAGAACTGGGGAAAAAAATGACATATGAAGGGTAGGTAGTGTGTGTGGGGTTATAACATATCCAGGGAAAAATTTTGTCGCTATAAACTAATGACCTAAGAAAACAGTTATTGTAATTATCATACAAGGACTTTAAAACAACTACTCTAAATATGTTAGACTTTACAATATAGGTTGGATAATAGTGCTTGAAGATATGGGACATTTCAAGAGAAGTGGGAATTCTAAAAAAGAAACTATGCAAACTGTAAAACCATGCAAACTCTAGTAGTAAACTAGGCCTAACTATGCTAAATGTTTTTGTATCTAATAGCAAAGTCCAAGGTAAATATATTAGAAATTGATACATCTCAAGGGACAAACAAAATCATATTTATAGCTAGAGATTAGACACATTTCCCTATGTAACTGATGAAGCAAGTGTGCACATATACACAAACTGAAAAGAGATTTCAGCAACATTATCGAACAATTTAACCCAACTGACATTTATAGAACAATTACCCCTCACGACTACAGGAAGTAGTCTTTTTTTTTTTTTTGCTTACATTCTTTTATTGGTACATTTTAGGTATACAATACAGTCACATTTATCATTGGGTGTTTGTACCTGTACATGATGTATCTTGATTCTTACTTTTTCCCCATTACCTGTGCACCCTTCAATCCCTCCAGCCTTCCCTATTTACATAGACATCATTTCCATTTTTTTCTTTTCTCATAATTTTTCCTTTGCCTTCTTTCCTTTCCCCTGCCATGCCCTTCACCAGGACCTCTTTGGACCTTTTTTCCTATTTCAAATTATCAATTATTCATATTAATCATTTTAACCCTTATTTACACTTTCATTTTCTTATGCTAGAAAAACTATTTGGTATTTACACATATGTGTCTTATTTATTTCAGTTAAGAGTATGGCCTCAATATGCATCCATTTACCTATAAATGACTCTAGTTTCTTGTTCTTTATGCCTGAGTAGTACTCCATTTTATAAAAAATCGACATCTTTTTTATCCAGTTTCCAGTTGATGGGCACTTGGGTTGCTTCCGTGCTTGAGCTATTACAAACTGTGCCACTGTAAACATGTGTGGACATATATCGCTGTGGTATGATTCTTTTTAATCTTTC